AAGTTCAGGAAAGGTTCGTTAAGACTTCTGCACCTGTTGACAGATACTTTAATTGGCCCGAGAATTTTTAAACAAAAAATTCAAAATCAATATTTAATTTTAGTAAATTATAATTTTTTTATTATTCCTTTTTTCAGTTGTGTGTTTTGAATTAGCATTGTGAACTTATCTTTTTCTTTAATAGGAGGGTATGTAAACTTTAAACACAACTGTACAACGCTTATTCAAAAATTAAGAGATCACAACAGCAATTTCCATTTGTTTACTTTTAATATAAGTAATTGTGTCCACTAAAAATGAAAAAAATAAATAAATAAAAATAAAAAAAACATTTTGTTCATGAGATGTTTGCCATATGTAAGAGTCCTGCTTTGATCAGCATGAGGGTCCTTATCTTGAGGAAATGAGAAGTTTCACCTTTCAGACGTAACTTTTTGTTCACATTAAAGCATTCACACAATTGTTTCTCATATAATCATTACTAGTTGTAAAACAAATGATGCACAGATTCAAAATGATAAAGAAAACAAGATATTGTTCTGATTGATTTAAAATGTTTTATATTATTTTAATGCCCTGCATAGACTTTCCTGTGTGCTGGGAAGGTGTGAGCAGAGGAAACATTGATAAGTCGATTAATTTGAATGACCTGAACCCCATAGTGCATCTATAGAGTATTTTCAATGGTAAGATCAAAGGCAACAGACCTAAATATCACCTAAATGCTGCTATCAAAGCAACCTGGGTTCCTATTACACCTCAGCAGAACCCCAGGCTTACCCCCTCCATGCCACCGTGCATTAAGCAGTTATTCATGCATAAGGAGATCCAACTAAGTATTAAGTTCATGAAAATTAAGATTCTTTTTTTTTATAAACCTGACATTGTTTTTGTGGTCTTCTGTTTTATTGATCATATGTGTTTCAAATTTCCCGAAGCACTAAATTAGGGGTTTAATTATCTTTGAGCAATAATTAAGACCACAAGGAAAAAATGCTTAGAAATGTCCACTCCATGTTTAAAGAATCTTTATATAAATTTTGCTTTCTAACGTGAGCAGGAATTTATTTTCCTCTCATAATGCTCTAATGTTTTCTTGTACTCTGGTTGTCCTTGTCTAACATAAAACGAGTTGTCAGAGCTAAAACATATAATTATACCCTCTTAGCAAAAACTAAAGGCATCTGTAGGAGGAGGTATTTTTTAAAGCACTAAACTAAACTGTATATAGTGGCAATGCTTTTGCCTGTTTCAGTGCTTAGCAACACCTTTACAAAATCAGTGAATGTTTCTCTCTGCATATGAAGTTGTCACCTTGCAGATTAGAACAAAGAATATTTAATTGCCCCGGTAGGAGCTCTTTCCATTGTTGCCAAATCACACAGTTCTCCGGTAAATACAGTTTGTTCTCTGTTAAGTATTGCTTGCACACACACATTGGGAACATGGTTTCCCTTTTAACTCAGACCTGATTATCAGACATTTTTGCTTTCTTTTTGTTCTTTAGCCGAGATGACAGGAGACATTCTGAGGATATTAAAATAACAAGCGAATTACATCTGATTGGATCCAGTGATTTTTCTTTCTTCTTTAAACTTAACCAATTTGTTCTTGTCAGTTTTCATACCACTGGGAGCGAAGAATGTCAGTATAGACTTATAAAAAATTAGACTTATATACAAGGCATGACAATATGAAATATATCCCTCCCTTTCAAAGGATAAGTGGTTCTGAGTGACAGACATGAAGGAAGTGATATGTTTAGCAATACATGGCTGTTTTTTTGTTGTTAAAATTAATGCATTAAATATAAGGAATCAAAAATATTACTTTAAACTTAAAGAAAATGGGGGATATTGTTTTAGTTGATGTGTAGTAAAGACATCTTAAACCTTCCTGCTGTTGATCTATTCTAGATTATACTTTGCATGACCCAAAACTTTTCATTTCTCTTCTTATTTAAACTGTATATTGCCTGTTACCAGTATCGGTTAATGTCACACTAAAGAATTTATTACTTAATGTTACATAACAGGATCATCAGTTTAAAATGTATAAAATAATCCTTATATTGGCTCAAATTATTCCACTGATGTTCTGTCTTTTGCTCTGCATTTCTTTTGTTTGAAGGTGTTCATTTTGCTGTGGTTTATTTTCCACCATCATTAATAATGAGTGCAGGATGCAGTTTAGGTGGATACAAACCCAGATTTCTCAAAGAATATTCCTATATTATTTGTTAGTGTTTTGCATTAGTACTCTGAAACTAATTACTCTTCATCAAGGATAACTATTAAACCAAATCTTGTAGGTAGTCATTTACTTAGGTTGTAATTTTGCTATTGTTTTGTATACAGAATTATAAATGACCAAGTGAGGTTTGGAAATTTGGCAAACCACAGGTCTTTGCGGTTAACTCACATATTCTTTAAATTAACACAAAACGTTTATAACCCGCCGCTCCATGAGCTCACCTCTAAATCCAGCTCCATGGGTTTTCTTTCTTGTGAAAGATGAAGGCAAAATATAACATTCTGGTCAGAAAGAGCTTAGAAATTATTGGAGAATGTTTGTGGAGTTTGATCAAAAGGTCCTCTGTCCAACTTTTAAATGGGAAACCAGATTGTTTGTGCTTTAGGATTGTGTTACTGCCTATGTGGCCCTGGAAGCATATTACTAGTGGCAGAAAAAAAATGGATTCAATTAAATCAGAACATTCTAAAATGAAGCTCAGACTTTCTGTTAGGTGTGAGGCTCAATAGGTGCAAACTGAAGGTTTTTTGTTTGACCTTCATGATCCTCTGAATAAAAAGCATGTTTTTCTTTCTTTATTTGTTACTTTTATAATTTTATAAGCATTTATTAGTTATTTAGGTTTTAGCCGTGGTAAATTGTACAATGGTGGCCCTTTGCATACATACTTTCCAACATCTCCACTATGTATTTGTTTATCCTTTTATAATCAGCTTTTAGAAAGTAAGGTTTGATTATTCTGTATTCAGATGATTGTTACTCTGTACTGTATTTAATTGTTTGCTTAGTGTATGATATTCAATACAAATCTGTCTGTTTCTTATAATCTAAAACACCACTATTTGAATAGGTTCTTTAAACATAAAAAACAAAATCAGTGTGAAATGTTTCTTTTCTATGTCATCACATGTACATGTTTATTTAAACTAAGGAAAAAAACTGCAGTGGTGACTTTGAGGGGGTTATTTATTTATTTATTTTTTTACTTTCCATAAAAAAAATCAGGCTGTTATAAATTCACTGAACTGTTTAAAGATAATATGCTGGTGGAGATTCTCAGTCATCCAGGTCATAGTCATTGCAAAAAAGTTCAAACACAATCCACTGGACTTTGTTTCCAAGTTTGAAGATGTTAAGCTTCCCATCCAGGAAGCTTTTTCAATTCAAAATGTCAGAATTAGCGTTGAGTTTGAAGTTTTAAAGAGCTGCCCAAAATAAAGCCTTGTATTAATACAATATATTGTCTTGTATAATTCATCACAGGGTAAAGGTGTACACCCAGTCTGACGGAAAGGTGTGCATTCATCCCAAATCTGTCAATGTTGAAGAGACGGAGTTTAATTACACATGGCTCATTTACCACCTGAAGATGAAAACCAGCAGTGTAAGTAAACTGACCTTTTTACAACTGTGTGAGAACTGAGGAGTGCATTTAGTGCGTAGGGAATTATTCTTTGAACATTCATGGAAGAATCCATCATGGGAATGTGCAAACCTATTCTGGTAGCATTAACTGAAATTGAAACAACACATTTTTGCTCATCAAAAATCATCCTAAGCATAGCCTGAATTCTCACAGTATTTGTGCAATCACAAACAAGACAGTCCCTCTTGTACTGCTCCTACTTATACCTCAACTGTGTAAGACCGACCAAAAACATGTCGCCTAATAACGTTGAAGTTTTATAGTTTAAGGAAGGAAATAAAGCTGTGACCAAAGTAAGAGATGCTGAGTTCACGGCCGAACCAAAAGCATTTGTGTTTCAAGAATTAATGCATTTTCTCATTGCACTGCTGACATTTTTATTTGATAAGCGACTGGGTGTTATTATACCCAACTAGGATCCGTTAAATGTCAATAATTTTCCCAAACAGATTCCCTGGGAGCATTTCTAGATCGATAACTTTTAGAACCAATCATGAGCGCTATGTGTTAACAATCTGGTTAAATTATTCTCCTTTTACAACCTTTTCAATGCTGGGAAAAGTATTTCCCTTTCTAGACACTTTTTCAGTTTTTGATTTTCTGTCACATTTAATGTTTTAGATTATCAAATAAATGTTTAGATATATATAAAAAAATAATATTTAAGCAATTAAGATAATTGATCTATCACAGTAACACAGTACCACCATGGTTGTTTTGGTACGTTTGGTTGTGTGGGAAGGTGCCAGGAAAATCATCAGTTCTTTAAGTGTGGTTGAAAAAAACTCCCCCAAAACATCATGGCCCTATTTAAAAAAAGTAATGTACCTCACCTGAAACCGGGTTGAACCACTTTTGCTGGCATTAACTGTTTGCAATAACTGTTATTGAGCCTTTTAAATCACTAAGTATTTGCAAACTCCTTTTTGATGATTTTTTTTTGTTTTGTTTTAAATTAACTGGTCTTTGTTTTATGAAATAAATCATTTCAAAATTGAAAGCTCTATTTTTTCAGGTCATTCTAATATTGTAATATGTTTGATGACCTTAAGCTTCTAAATGTGAGACATAATCCAAAGCAGAAGACGTTTGAAAGCAGACTTTTTCAGCTGTTTACTTAGAAATTTCACATAAATTTCTGTTGAGTATATAAAAAACGGACTTGTCTATATTTAGTGAGTCATGTCCCTCCTCCTGTGCAACTTGTGCTACTTTGCTCCCTGTACCTCAAAGCTGTCCAGAGCTCATCAGTGGCAGAAAATCTGCAACTGTGAACCGCTTTTTTATTTTCCCCTGAATGTTTCTGTTCACGTGTGAAAATGGCTTTTGGGATTTTGCCCAGCCACTTCTGAAGAGCACCTGTGAGAGGATAGAAGTACCAGCGGCTAAAGGTTGGCAGTGGTGCCATACTAGCTTTGCACTTAATGAATATTTGATTAAACACAGCACCTTTCAACTCTCTCTCAAAAGCTCTTGGGCTTCAAAGCTTCCAGATACAATGCAAGAGGTGGTCGCGGTGGCAAACCGGTCAACACAGATTCCTGACTGCAACACTCTATAGCTTCTTTTTTTTATCAATCCCTCCTCAGACTCCTCGTCTTTCTGTCTTTGTTCTGTCTCCTTATGCGAGTGCCCCAATTCTGCATAAAAAAATAAAAGAAACGATACTTCATAGCTGCTTTGATTGCGTCCTCAGTGCTGATGAAGAAAACATGCTTTGTCGCATTTTACCTTCAGTTCTGCTACATTTAGATCTTTTTGTTTTTCTCTGACACAAAGCTGCACATCTGCGTTCATAGAGTGAGACGTTCAGACGGTGTGAGATATCCAAGGTTATTTACTCACTGAGAGAGAATGAAGCAGAAGGGGTAGAGCAGCAGAACGAGGGAGGAAAATGGATGATGACGTTAAACTTGATATCCTCTGACGCACTTGTCCCTGATGATCTATTACATCACAGATTTATGGGCTGAATGCAGGTTAGCCAGCTCTCTTATTTTTCATCTCCATCAAGGATTTTACTCTTTTATTTCCAGTTAGGGTTGAACACCACTGGATTTTTAATATGCTTGTTTAACCTTCATCTTTAAAAGGACCTGTGGGGTTTTCTTCAACTATAGTGCCCTAAATTGCTCCTGGTTTATAGGAGGCACAGGCCAGAGATTGGCAAGAGCCATCACCTCAGTTTTTAGCATTTTTCTATGGCATGAGGACGGGGCAAACAATATTACAGAGTAGTAAAAACAAGAATGAGAACCACACGTTTGTTTTTAATGCAAAATGTTTTATAAATCCAAACATGTAATTTACACCACTGATATGGGGAGAAATTGTAATGAGCAAGTTGTGGTAAAACCCAGTTTTTAAATATGTTATCCAATAAAGAATATGGTGGATGCAGAAGGTATTTCACAAGCTTGATATTAAATTAACATTAAGTCACATTTTTACCCTAATACATCCTCACATTAGTCCATGTGACATAATCCATGTGACCTAATCTAGGTGTTTATAAGATGATTGAGTGGTCCGTCATCTCCCCCTGCTGGTCCTGGTTGGAAAACCACACTTGGAATCCTCTTTGCCACCAACCTGGTGGCAGTGTGGCGGCTCTGTTCTTGTTTTCGCTGTAAGATGAACAACTTTACTGCGGCCCAGTGTGAGGCTACTGCTAGCCCCCTCTGCACCACTCACAGGTCATTATGGGTTTTATGACATGGCAGAGGTAACAAACACGGGAAAAGAAAACCAAACAGGAAAGATAAATTGGATCCGAAATAGACTCAAAAACAGTGAATTGTATTCTGGACCAGGCCTCAAACGAAAAGAGGAGAAACGGATGCAGACCTTTCAGTGTTGTCATTGTTAACCTAAGCTCTGTTTGCAATACTATCGGGACTTTAGAATCATCGATTTTTAGTGTGTCGCTATAAAATATTAAGAGACTGAATAAATTTTTGAGAGCAAATAACTTTGACTTCTTAGACAGAGTTCTATTAAGACTTATTAAGATGATTTATAGTGAAGAGGCTGCTGTACAGCAGCTGACATTATGTCAGTGGATATTGTGCAGTACTGCCCACCTCTTCAGATAATTTGTTGTGATATGCATCCTCCAGCTGCTTTGAGAATGATGGTATGCTGTTGCTCTATGCTTCGGGACATGGGGGTCATTCACTGATTAGTGCTATTTTCAAAAAGTCCTGTAGGGGGAGTGCTACTACAGAATAGTATCTATTGAATTAGTTTTAGTTTCTATATTCTTTCCCTTATTTTGTTGTTATTTTCTTACTTTTGTTTACTTAATTTTAGGATTGAAGTGAAGGTTGGTCAACACATCCCTTTAAAGTGTAGCTCTTAGTGATCCGTCTTTCCTTCTTCATTTTGGGTCTTATTGGGTGAGCTGCTTTACATAAGCAGCTGTCAAATCAACATGAAATGGAAGGTTTGAAAGAGTGTAACACATTAGGGAGATTCACAGATGGGGCAGTATGACATTTTTCCTCACACCAGAGGCACCAAAACACATTTTCAACTGGCACAGCCTTTCTCCACTAATGTGACACTCTTAGCCCACACCGCAGAGTAGCTGTCGGACTCAGCGTGTCACAACGATTCAGCTTTCTGTAACTAAACCTGGTAATGTGTTGTAATAACGGTATAATTGCGTGTTTGCAATGCCACCATCTCCTTTCAGATCTTCCTGTACGACTGCACTGAAGTGTCCCCGTTCTCCCTGCTGTTCTTTGGAGGAGACATCAGCATCCAGAAAGAAGAGGGCGACGAAACCATCGCTGTCGACCGCTGGATTGTCTTCAGATCCCCAGCGCGCATTGCCCATCTTGTTAAGGTAAACAAAGCGGACATCAGATGCTCTGATTACTGAATATTGCAGTTATTTTTTATTGGCTTCTGTTCTGTTCCGTAGAGTTTGAAGAAAGAGCTGGATTCACTGTTACAAGAAAAAATCAGCAACCCGGCTCCTGTGGACTGGAATAACCGGCAGTCCAAAGACTGTGCTGTCATCACAGCAATCATAGATCTCCTCACCACCCAAGAAAGGCCTGCAGGCAGCAGCAAGGACGATGGCAGGATGTGGGCGTCTGCCCCGAGAGGGAAGCACGTTTACTTTAATGAGGACGATGATGATGACGACGACAACGATGATTAAAAGTGGCCAGGGATTCGGCTGGCAATGAAGAAAGTAGCCTTTGCGGTGACTGAGTGCACCTTCAGACATGAGTTTGTTGGAATATTTATGATAGACAGCTGGCCTCCCTGATGCCTCTACTCGGTTTAAACTTTACTGCTCCCTTGATGCTGCTAAAGGCCAAACAGAAGGGTAGAGTGCTGGAAAATGAAAATGGTCTTCCTTTGAATGAGTCCTGCTTTTCTCTCTCTTTTGACCATTTAAATAGCTCATTGACCAACCTGTCTTTATGTTCCCGTTTTGTTTAATTTGTTTATTTTATATTTGGAAGTTTTGACCTGTTTCCAAGCAATGCCACAAAACCGCTTGTGTAATAAATAAGCTACTTGTAATCAGTGTGATTCCTTTACATTATGAGACTGACCTTTAAAAAGAATTACCCAGATATTATTAGTTTCAAAAATAACTGTCCATTAAGTACAGAAAGTACATATTCATAGATTAAGATAAAAAGGTTATAGAGAAGTATTACGTTATTGTCCCACAGCCAGGAAATTGAAGTTTGAAAGTGGCAAAAGAAAGTAGAAAAAAGCTTATTGCACAATAATGAAAAAAAATTATTTAAAATGTTGAGCTGTTCAGAAAAAGGAAAAAAAAATTTTTGTGCAGTTATCAAAAAAGGCCTTATCAGGTAAGAATGAACTGTTGAGTTAAAAGGAATGTTAGAAAAGCAGAACCCTGTTAAAAGTGAGATGGAAAACTACAAAAGGCCCATTATATCAGCAGTTCAACTCAAAATAAATCTCTCTACATTATAGAATAAAATAAAATTTGTTTTCATTTGAATAATCCTGGTTTATTGCTAAAAAGAATTAATGTACTATACAATATACATAAGATTGTACAGTACATTATATATCCTAAACGTATACATACAGTACAACTTATAAAAATCTCAATCGTTGGTTGTGGCTCCATGTGCTTACGTTTCAGCTTCAAACTCCACGTTCCATTAATAGTGATTTCCTGATGCCTCACATATTCCTCTCAAGATTGCTATATAGATTTTGGACTTGAGGAAACTCTGGACCAATACCAGTAAAAATCATGGCTCCCAAAATCATTACTAACTGGAAAATCCACTGTCTCCGGTCGTCTCTCCTCCCTTCTCTGGCACCCCGCTTTCCACATAAAACGGAAAAGAGGATTTTAGCCCCTGAGCAGCAGTCAAATGCTTCATCTCTCCTGCCAAGGCAAAATACTTTGAACATTCTTTGTTGAGGAAATGGCTAAAGTTAAATTTGATGCTTGTTGCCAATTTCTTTGAATGGTCTGTGTGAACTGGTTCTCAGACACTGAATCTCTCACAAATGATCAATGCCATTTGCTTTACTATCCTCTTCAGGAAGCAGTCATTGCTGTTGCTTGTGCACCTTTTTATAAAACACTTTATCCTTGCACTATACTTTGTATTTATGTTTGCATACAGCACTTAGAACTGCCAGTTTAGTTTCTTTGCTTTTTTAGATGTTAATGACCGTCTGCTGGATCACTGTCATCTCCAAAGTCTCCATAACAGTGCAGGCCAGATTTCTGTAATCTACTTTTAATACTTTTTATATATTCCTTTTTGTATAATTCATTTTATTTCACATTTAGAATGATGTTTTAACTTTCAACTATAGCTAAACTCATTAGATAAATCTAATATTTGCTTGTGCCACTTGTTTTACATGATGCGATAAAAAACATCCAATCACTGAAAAACTTGAACGGCTGCCTTGAATCTAACCTGCTTTAAATAACCACTCATAATACAAAGCAGAGTGCAATTAAAACCTTTATTAAGCAAATACTAATTAAAATTCTGTTTTTTTCCCTTTCTTCCTATATAAATCTGTATTTATGGAAACAAGTGTCATTGTATTACATATTTACACATGCAAAGCTTATTTACAATAGTTACAAAAGTAAGGAAATATTTGAAGCAGTTCATGAATAATCCGTTGTATTTTTCCCTGAGTGCAAACATAAAGCCGAATGTCCAAATGGGTGTGTGCACATCACAGCACCCAAAACCTCAGGTGGTGGTTATCATCGTTGTCGGTTGCAGATCTGTTGGCTTGATAAATTGCATTAAAGCCATCCTTTGGCCAGGCTTTTTTTTTTTTCCTTCAGCCAGGCAACACTAAAACGATGACTCACACGCTGGACAATCACATTAAAAGCAGGGCCAGCAGGGGTCAGATCCCACCGACAGCACACACATCATTTCTTTAGTCACATGCGTTTATAAAAGATATATACATGGGATTATTTACACTCTCCCATCTCCAGATTGCATCAACTGCTATATTTCTTGCTGTCCAAACTGCAGAATTGATGGGGAAAATAATGGTGCTTGATACATAAATGTACAATCTGATTCATGAGGGTGACATTACCCACTGACAAATAGCAAGTTTGAAGTGCAGAAACTTGGCCCTTCTCACCTGGACCCCATAATGCATCACTCTCTTCCCTGCTAGCTGTAATTTGTACCATTTTCTAATCACTTATAAGTATTTACAGCTATGTTTACACTTGGCTTTAATGTAATCTGCTTAGCTGTAGAGACCATGCAGAATTTGTACGCTGTAAACACATTTCCTGCTTGTAGAATTATGCTCATAGCGACATTGTTAGTGGTGAAGCCTTTTATCATCCGGCCGGAGCCTCTTTAACTGAACACGCGCAAGGCTGCTGTTGAATTCCCTCTAATTGGTTTGCTTTACCTCCCACAGCAGGACTGCATTCATTACACTGTACAAAAAAATCTGTTGGAAAAAAATGTAGAAATTTAACAGCAACAGTTGTTATGTGGTAGGGTGTTGAAAGCAGATGCTTTGGCTGTGGTGGGAGGGAAGTTTTTTCTCAGCCAGCCAGAGAATTAATCAGTGTGACATATCCCACTGTCAGGCCATCCCACCCACTCAGGGAGGGATCGCTAATTAAAGGAATCTGTTTTTTCCTGCTGTGTTGATGCTAAACAGTCTAAAACTCAGACAGGTGCTCAGTGTTTAGTAAATACTGAATAGTACATCTGTAACCGATGCCGTTCATTCAGTGTTTAAAGAGTTCAGAGTGTCTTTATCATCATTGGGGGGAAAAAAACACATCCCTCTTGTTCATGGTTCCATCACACGTTGGTCTCCAGCCCCTGCAGCCGATCCATCCTCTGCATGTTCCGTTCAATGGTGGCCTGACATGTGATCTTTTCGGCGCACTCTGCAGGAAACCACCCAGTCTCTCCATCGCGCAGCCGCTCCCCTTCGTACCATCCTAAGGGGTTGAAAACATGCTCTTTGTTTAAAAATGTGTGCAACATCATGCCTTCACTTAGGTAGTGTAATTTTTTTTTGATGATGTATCTTCTTTGACAGAAAAGCCTGTTGCTATGGTCACCAAAACTGCAATTAACTTCCAGGCTTTGGACTACTGTAGATGGGTAAACTTCAAACACATCAGCTCTATTATATGAAAGAGATAGGTGGTAAAAAGGAAGAGAATGAATGAGTTTATGATGAAAGGATGCTTAGGCAGGAAGGTAAAAAACAGGAGGAATAGAGGTGTAGCTCACTGGTTTAGAACATCACTGAGAGGTTTTGTTTCAGTAATTAAATTCAAGAGGGTAAACTTGTTTGTAATATAATTTTTTTGCACTCAATAAACACCTTTAAGCTTTTATTTTTAATTTGTAATTATTATTGCTTACGGCCGATAAAATCAACAAAAAATAAATTAGTCTAGGGAAATAGTTTAATAAAAGTTCCTTTATATAACTGCTTTACAAAAAGATTAATGCAGAATTCTGGAATGTTTAGCAGAAGGAAAAAAGTATAGCTAGGAAAAGGAGCCCATGTAAAACTAATAGCTGCAACCATTTTAGATTTTTAGTGAGTATGACAAGGTGTGAACTCCCCACAAATGTATCTGGGCTAAAACTGTTCCATTACACTCCTCCGACAGAGGAATTATGGTTTTACCTGGATTAAAGCAGATCTTTACTCAGAAGTTAATCTCAGATAAAAAAAAAAAGAAAAAGATCCCATACTCTGGCATAAGGTGGGAGGTGGGAGTGGGCACAGTTAAGGTCTAATGAAAAGTTTTTACTGTCTGTTTTGGGGAGCCATTTCAAATGATCCATTTCATGTTATTTCTCCAAAGTCTACACAGCTGTTATCCAGATTTAATTCTATTTTTCTGGAATACAAAATCAAAGACTTAAAGTAGAGGGAATCTACCACAGCATATTAAACAGGCTTCATCTCACAATTCTCCTTAGGTTGCATTTATCTTTTTTGCTTCTGGTTTTGTAGAAAACTTGTTTCTTCCACTAAACTTTGTGTTAATATGCAAAGTTACATCATTCGACCTTTTGTGTCACACCCTATTTATGGAGGGGCTTCTCCATGGCTGTGTACTATAACACAACGTTTTCATTATTAATTATCAAAATTACATTAAAAAAAACTTTACCTTGTGTTTTATGAATTTATGTTAGAAATAAGCTTAACAATGAGATAAACATTTCAGTGAGGTTGTATTTTTTTTCTTTTAAATCTATTGAAAAACCTTTAAGCCAATGGGTGGGGGTGAGAAAAGTGAGACACAACATACCGTCGACATGTTGGGAAACCAACACCACATCAGCCACTTGCAGAGACAGCTCATCTGGTTGTTTTGCCGTGTAAGTTCTTATCACCTCCACCTGGATAACATCTGGAAAAGAAAAACAAAGCATTGCCATAAGTACTTCCAGACCTCTCCAGTTTCAAAATTAGATCAACGCGTTGAACTAAAATGCCACAAGGTGGAGCAATAAGCTCAGAGAGGGAGCTGGCAGCTTACTGGTTCTGTCATGCAGTCTTTCATCGTTGTCATTCTTGCCCAGAGAACTGATCCACCGTGCACGCTCATTCCTAAACAGAGGAATATTTTCTATTAGCTTTGACAATTCAATGATAATTAAAAACCTTTCCTTGTTTCAGTTATGCACCATGACTGTCAGAGTTTTGTTTTTAGAATGACTACAGATGATTTACACCTTTATAGGAAAAAACATGTTTGTTCCCTTGCAAGTTCTTCCCTTCCCTCCCTCCTCTCTGCCCCTCATCAGTTAGAGTACTGAGAAAAAAACAAGCACAAAGGATTGATTCTCAGTAGAAGACAGACCTGCTTTGCTTTCTTCCTGTCTCTTGTGAGCGTTTCACGGGAAACACATGAAACCAGATATCATCTCACCTGCTCTAAAGAAATCAGACCAAGATGCAGGGACTGATAAAGAGGCGCAGCAGTTTGGAAAACGAAGCAGGAGGTCTATGGGGGCCCTCATTGACTCAGCATTAGTGGCCTGTAAACAGGGACAACCGTACAAAGGAGGCAGCTTGTCACTCAGGCGCCTCAAATGGACACTAGTGGACGGTAGCAGTGAGTCACACCTCATTATTACATTCCTATTGTGTGATACTTTGTAAGCCACACAGGCGTAAAAGTACAGCAGCATGTAATGCTTTACTGCCAACAATGGAAAAAAAAAATCTTTTATCAGCACTGCACCTTATATGGCCTCATTTGCCCTGGCTGAAAATCAGCCCACACAGCAATAATCCTAACAGCACAGTGCAACCTTTGGAGTTGAAATGCCCCATAAGAATATATATTGTCGCACCGTTCACTAAGAGAGCACTTTCATATTAAGTCCAGAGGAAAATTTGTATTTATTATAATAATATTTCAATGATGATAAAATACAATTCCCTCTATTTTTAAATTATCCACGGTATATGTTCTATTACAATATGTCTTGCTTGTGTTTGCTTTGGAAGTGTGAACAAGTAATTAGGTCAGAAACTGATAAATGGAGAATTTATCTGAAACTGACCTGTGACCGAGGTAAACAGAGTTCAAATGTTAGTTTTAAACAGCTGAAACCATTCATAGTGCTGCCGTTTGCCGTCATTAATTTTAATGAGAAGCCAGAGAAAATGTTAAGACAGAGCGTCAATCACACACTGTTGCTAGGCCGATGGACAACTTATTGTTTTCTATGAACCCGTATAATATCTGTTTTCAGTTTGAGTTATTTCAGTTTATGCTAAATTAGCTGACTAGCTGTTATCCTTCAACCATTCTGAAAAAATCTTTACTTTTCTCTGCAATTCGACATCCGTCTCCTACAAGTAAGGAGGCGGGTTACTGGAAATAACTGCACAGAATAATCCCCAAATTCAAAAATATCCCTTTAAATAAAATAACATCTAAACTGTCACAAGCAGAATAGCACCTGTTTCTTAGCGAGTCTCATAGAAACCATTATGCCTGCCTTTTTATAAAGTCACATTCAGAGCTCCTCCTTGGCTAAGACAGCTGTTTGTTTTACTTGACAGCTGGGCCTGCATGCCAACAGTTGGATGTATGCATGTGTAAAATAAGTCGTGGCAGGGTGCTCCCTCTCGAAAACAGCTGAAATAACCGACACATGTGAGCACATTTATCAACAGAGAACATGTTTGTGAGATGTATTTAGACTGCATGGAAGTGATGAGTTGATAAATCGTGTTTTGACACACTGCCAAACTGTTTTGGTACTGCATTTACATGGTCATATTTAAAGGTAGTGGAGGATTTTCTTTTTCCTGGTGGATCATCTAATTAAGTGGTCCTCCTAATTGTCAATTATTCTGGTGATACGTAAGGCATGTGCTCGATCCCAGTTAGCTATCTTTTTCTGTGCATGTGCACTTTCAGGTGTATATGTGTGGTGAGCTACGATTTCAGTCAATGAAGCTTTTCTCATCACTGCTCTTTGAAAATGGCCGAAGGTCTTAAGACAAAAAGTGTCTACAAAGTGTATGAGAAGAAAGAAAGGCATCAGAAGAGACAGATATATCCCAGAATGAGATTTGCTGTCACATCGGCGCGACTAATAAAGATGGCGCAGGCACCGCATGATGAAGGAGGAGTAACTTGACCAACGGGGGGTAAAAAGTAGTGATCATCTGTCCGAAAGGTAAGTTAAATGAGTTCACTATAAAGTCCACTATATCATCCCCGTTTTGTATATTGATTGAGGGATTTAGGGGTTAGGGTGGACATTTGGGCACAGTTAGCTTGTATGAGCTATGAGAACAACAACTTTTAAACAGGGCATGCACAAGGAGAAATGGGGTTGTGCACGCTCTTGCACGCATTTAATAGGCGTTCCCTATCTGGAGGGGGCTCAGGGTTGTGCATGTGCATTTTTTTTTTTAAAGTGCAGAGGGCGGGTCTTTTAAAAATACAGAGATGGCAAAAGTACTCACTTTCCGTACTTGAGTAAAAGTACAGATACTTGTGTTAAAAAATACTCTG